CTATCTGTCTGTTTGTCTATCTGTCTGTTTGTCTATCTGTCTGTTTGTCTATCTGTCTGTTTGTCTATCTGTCTGTTGGTCTATTTGTCTATCTATCTGTTTGTCTATCTGTCTATTTGTCTATCTGTCTGTTTGTCTATCTGTTTGTTTGTCTATCTGTCTATTTGTCTATCTGTCTGTTTGTCTATCTGTCTGTTTGTCTATATGTCTGTTTGTCTATCTGTCTGTTTGTCTATCTGTCTGTTTGTCTGTCTGTCTGTTTGTCTATCTGTCTGTTTGTCTATCTGTCTGTTTGTCTATCTGTCTGTTTGTCTATCTGTTTATTTGTCTGTCTATTTGTCTATCTGTTTATTCATTTATTTATTTACTTATGTATGTATGTGTCTCTCTGTCTATCTATCTATCTATCTATCTATCTATCTATCTATCTATCTGTCTGTCTGCCTATCTATTTGTTTATTAGTCTATCTATCTATTTATCTATTTATTTGATTGTATTTCTATCTATTTAATGAATGAATGAAATGCATTGATTTGTTTATTCATGTCAGACTATCTTAGTTGTTGTTTATTGAATAGTAAGTCTTTTATGTTCTAGGTATTTAGGTATTAATTAATTCCTCAATTAAGTCAATTGTATGTTTATCCAGTTATCTATATATTCAATTAGGTGTTTATTAATGACTTTACCCATTCATCCAACATTTATTCGATCAATTATATATTTATCTAGTTATATTAATTATTAATTCCTCAATTAAGTCAATTGTATGTTTATCCAGTTATCTATAAATTCAATTAGTTGTTTATGAACGGATTCGCCCATTTATCCAATTTCTGAATTCTATAATCTATCTCTTCATCTATCTATCCATCTGTCTGTTTATTTATCCATTTCCTTAGTCACCCCTCAGCTATTTCCCCTTTTCACCACTGTTCCGTTTTCTATGCAAGACCTGGAATTTGACTCCTGCTTAGAGATCCTTTAAGAACGTGAGAGGTTGCGAGAGAGTCGTTATATTATCCTTTCCTATTTCAAGATGTTGCATGGCTGAATATGTACTTGTGGGTTTATGTATGTATATCTATGTGTATATGTTTATATACATGTTTTAATATATGTGGATGATTCTCTCTCTCTCTCTCTCTCTCTCTCTCTCTCTCTCTCTCTCTCTCTCTCTCTCTCTCTCTCTCTCTCTCTCTCTCTCTCTATATATATATATATATATATATATATATATATATATATACATACATATATATATATATATATATATATATATATATATATATATATATATATATATATGTATGTGTGTGTGTGTGTGTGTGTGTGTGTGTGTGTGTGTGTGTGTGTGTGTGTGTGTGTGTGTATGTATGTATGTATGTATATATATATATATGTATATATATATGTTTATATATATGTTTATATATATGTATATGTATGTATATATGTATACACACACACACACACACACACACACACACACACACACACACACATATATATATATATATATATATATATATATATATATATATATATATATATATATATCTGCGTGTATGTGTGTGTGTGTATGTGTGTGTGTGTGTGTGTGTGTGTGTGTGTGTGTGTGTGTGTGTGTATGCAAATCCCCTCCTGTTTCTTTCTTCGATATACTTCACTTCCATACACCTTCCCTTTGATCATTCCGGCAGATGCATAAATTATAGACATAATTTTGAACTCGTGTCGATCATAATAATTAAGTAGTTGGATATCATTAGTATTTTTCAATAAGACTTTTACATTAGGTGTATTTTTTTGTCAAGATTGCATATACAGTTTCTTTGTTTGTCTGTTTGTTATTTATTGATTATATTGTATGTCGCTATGTTAGATGTTTTTGTTTCTATATTCGTGAGTCCCTCTTTCTGTAGGCCTTTTTTGTCTCTCTGTTTGTCTGCCTGTATCACTTTCTTTTCTCTATCTCTCTATGTATCTCTCCTCCTCCCCTTCCTCCCCTCCCTTTCTCCTCTCTTTCCTCTTTCCTCTCTTTATCCTCTGTCCCTTCTCATCCCCTTCCTCTCCCTCTCTTTCCCCCCTTCCTCCCCTCTCTTTCCCCTCTCCTCCCCGGTTTCCCCTCTCATCTCCCCTCTTTATTCTCTCTATCCCTTCTCATCCCCTTCCTCCCCTCTCTTTCCCCTCTCTGTCCCTTCTCATCCCCTTCCTCTCCCTCCCTTTCTCCCCTTCTTCCCCTCCCTTCCTCCCCTTCCTCCTCTCTTCTCCTCCCCTCTCTTTCCCCTTTTCCTCCCCAGTTTCCCCTCTCACCTCCCCTCTTTCCAGGCTGCGTGCACCAGGGGGTCACATACAAACACGGCTCGCGGTGGTCCGACGGCTGTCAGCATTACGAGTGTCAGTCAGGGGTATTGACAACCTCCAAGAAGCACTGTCATGTTCCCTGCTACACCCCCCTCCCCCCTCTCGGCTCCGGATGCTGCCCGAGATGCGAAGGTAAGATGAAGCGAGGAATGAGGCGAGGCTGGGATGCCTCTTAATCGTTATTGTTGTTGTTTATGTTTGTTTGTTATTGTTAGTATTATATTTGTTTGTCATCATCATTGTTATCATTATCATTATCATCATTATCATTATTATCATTATCATTATCATCATTATCATTATTATCATTATCATCATTATCATTACCGTTGTTATTGTAATTGTCATTGTCATTATCGTCATCATTATCGTTATTATTATCACTATCACTGTCATCATCATAATCATCACCATCACCATCACCATCATTACTATACTCATCGCTATCATTATCATCAATATTATTATCATCATGAGAAAGAATGTCCGTGGAGATGAAATATTAATTTTTTAATGGCGTTGATATGATAACTACCAAGACGATCTTACGGAGTGATAAAAATAATAATGCTAATGAAATTCATGTCGACGATACTAATATGATAATACAAGTTACGAAATCTCATATTGTAATGCATCGTGATATCAACTGTTATCAATATTATTATGATATCAATGAATTTTATCAATGCTCTTCAATGCAGCGATAGTGAAAATTTTGATCCTCGAAAAAAACTTTAAGAGACAAGACAAGAAGACAAAAGTTTCTTTCAGAGAATAATGGCCTTTAACAAACAACGACTTAAGGCGTATAATGGCTTGAACGATTAAAAGCGGAGTCAATACAATGCTTCTTGAGTTCCTTAGCAAGCAGGATGGAGTTAACGACTGAATTATGTATTGTAATCTAACTGTATCAAAAACAGGTTTTATCAGGAGGGAGGGAGAGAGAGAGAGAGAGAGAGAGAGAGAGAGAGAGAGAGAGAGAGAGAGAGAGAGAGAGAGAGAGAGAGAGAGAGAGAGAGAGGAAAGGAGGGAGAGATAAAAGGAGGGAGGGGGAGAGGGAGAAGGGGAGGGGGAGGGGGGGGAGGAGAGAGGGGGAGGGAGAGGGAGAAAGATAGGGGATGGGGGAAGGAAAGGGAAGGGAGAGGGAGAGGAGAAGGGAGAGAGGGGAGAGAGGGAGGGAGAGGGGTAAGGAGAGGGGAGGGGGAGGAGGAGGAGGGTGAGGGTTAGGTTGAGGGAGAGAATGAGAGAAAGAGGAAAGGGGAGAGAAAGAGAGAGAGAGAGAGAGAGAAAGAGGAAAGGAGAGAAAATGAGAGAGAGAGAGAGAGAGTTAAGATGGAAGCAGAGATGATGTTAAGGGAGACAGAGAAACCAATAGAGATAGAGGGGAGAGGGGGGGCGAAATTGAAATTCTAAAAATAGGAATAGAAGCAGAGACAACACATGATACTAAGAATAAGAAAGAGAGAGAAAAGACGATAAAAAAGCAACAAAGACACAACGAAGAAAGTAAAGACAAACAAAGACAAACATAAACAGACAAAGTAGACAAATAAACAAACAAAGGCGTTAACAAATCCAGGTATAGGGAACATCTGCAACATCTCCTTGCATTCAGGACGCCATAATTAATGAAGCTGCAACAGAGGCCATTGCTCTTGCAACAGAACCCGCCGAGAGTCATCCTTAACTACGATTAAAAAGAACAAAGAAAAGATACGAAAAATGAAAGAAATATGCAATAAAGAAAACGATTTAAAAAAAGGATGAACGAAATCAAAGAAAAGAAAGAAAAGAAAAAATAGCGAAGATAAGCGTAAAAAGAAAGCGATAACGATAAAAAAAAACAGAAAATAAGAAAAAGGAGAGATGAATGAAATCGAAGAAAATGAAAGAAAAAAAGAAAATAAGCGAGAACGAAAGAGATCGAAAGATAAACACGTTTCCCCTTTCAACGACATTCTCTCTCGTCTCTCTCTCTCTCTCTCTCTCTCTCTCTCTCTCTCTCTCTCTCTCTCTCTCTCTCTCTCTCTCTCTCTCTCTCTCTCTCTCTCTCTCCATCTCTGTCTGTCTCTGTCTCTGTCTCTGTCTGTCTGTCTGTCTGTCTGTCTGTCTGTCTGTCTGTCTGTCTGTCTGTCTGTCTGTCTGTCCTGTCTGTCTCTCTCTCTCTCTCTCCCTCTCTCTCTCTCTCTTTCTCTCTCTCTCTCTTCTCTCTCTCTCTCTCTCTCTCTCTCTCTCTCTCTCTCTCTCTCTCCATCTCTGTCTCTCTCTGTCTCTGTCTCTGTCTGTCTGTCTGTCTGTCTCTGTCTCTGTCTCTGTCTCTGTCTCTGTCTCTGCTCTCTCTCTCTCTCTCTCTCTCTCTTCTCTCTCTCTCTCTCTCTCTCTCTCTCTCTATCTATCTATCTATCTCTCTATCTCTCTAGCTCTCTATCTCTCTCTCTCTCTCCCTCCCTCCCTCCCTCCCTCCCTCTCTTTCTCTCCCCCCCTCTCCCCCCCCCTCTCCTTCTCAATCCATTCTACGAACAGACAAAAGGCTGAGAGGACGTTACAGCTGCAGCCAAGCAAGTAAACAAGTAAACAAGCAATCAAGTAATCAAGCAGCGCCTTCGTCTGTGCCACCGGATGCTCA